TGCTTTGTTCAGGGACGTTGAAGAACAGTTGTATTGAATATGCATCTATTTACAATATGTCAGTCAAAGCCTCTAAATATAGTAACATTAAGCTCAAGCAACATTCTTGCAGGGCAATACTTCTTAGTAAACACTCATGGGTGGATTTTGGAGGCTGTTTCTTTTAGCAGTAAAGAGCCAAGGCTACATACACTATTGCTGTTCACAACAAATAAGATGATCTAGGACAGCTGATGTTCCTTTTTTAGGTGACAGCATGAGCTCTGTTTTAGAGCTTTGAAGAAAAAAACACAGTCCTTGAATTAGTCCACATAATCATTTTGACACCGCTGAAATCTGTATAACACTGATGAGACATTTCCCTTGTCCTGTTCAGGTGGAAGAATCCTGAAGCCTGGAGTAGTTCACATGCTTTCTATCATCACCTTCCACCTTCAGCAAAATCATTTACTGTCTTTCACTCTAAAGGTTTATTAATTTGATCAAGGGCAAAGATAGCATGTTCCACCAGTTAATAAAGTTTATAAAGCACTAGGGAATCTACTTGGATGAGAACCATCACAGAAATGCAAGACTTAATCAGACCAAAACCAGCTGCTAATGCCAGAGAGATGTAAAACTCATTTAGAAATTAGAAGGGGTGGCTGAGCAAGCAGACAAAATTGAAAAGTTGTATTATGAGACACAGGTGCAAAGACTTTTAACCTAAGTTAAGGTTAGGCTTTTAAGGCTTAAAAAGAAAGTACTGTGAAATGCACCTGAGGTGAGTAGTTGAAAGGCTACTCAGACACAAGGGATGCGCTGATCATAAGAATTTTCAAAAGGGGGAGTAGGAGATTCCAGCAGAGAAAAAATGTTTTTAAAAAAATATTTAAACACTGAAGCTCTATCAACATTATAAGCTAGGAATTACAATAGAAGTGACAAAATTAGAGAGTTTTAAAAGAGCATTGTATAATCCAATGACGACTGAAAGAATAACCTGCAAGCCTGTCTGAGCAGACGCATCAGAGGTATGGTTGTGTGTTCAGAATGGTTCTGGACTACTAGTCACATGCAGACTTAATAACAACATATCCATACCTATAACAGCATTCATTTGTCAATAAAGTACCAATATTCAAAAGGAGCGAATGAATGAAAACACTAACTTTACTGCACTTCAAGATCACTGGTGCAGGTGGGGACTTTTCTGTAAAGAAACTGGGTGATGTAACAAGTGTTATTACAGTGCCATCTAGTGCAAACGAGGCATTTGAATGAAGATGGCAGATGGGTGAAATCTCTGCAGCCCACAGCACCACCATGGGAGGAGAAAGCCTCTCCACTAGGGCCATGGTAGGTAGAGAGGCCATCCAGCTTCTTGCTAGGAGTTACATCTGGCTCAGACAGCAATTAGAAAAATATTTCCATTCTTGCCTTTGGATGAATTGTTGCTCTGAGTATCAGTGTCCTGCATTTAGCATTTTTAAGTATCTGGATTATGTGCTGGGCTACTTTTCTCCATCATAGTCACTTGCTCCTCCCTCAGTCACACAACGAAGAGCTTTGTGCTGACAAACAGAAAATGCTCTGAACATGAGAAAATATACCTCTGATTTGCCTGAATGAGAAAAGGCTATGATCAGCTTAGCAAGTAATAGTCTGTGAAATACTCACAACAATTCCCACTTCATACAGACTGGTACTTGGGCTCTGGCCAACTTTGTACCTGCAACTGCTCACAGATATAGGAAGCCCATTTCTTTCATGATACCTTAAATATTGACAAGGTGGTCGATGCATCAGGTGCCAAGCTGAGAACAAGAGAAACTGGTTAACTGTGAGTGTTGCATTTGTTAAATTCTAAAGTGAACCTCTTAGATCTACCCCATGGGGGGTTTTGTCATGACCCAGACTGGACAGACCAGGGAGTCCTGTTTAATTCAAAATTCCCTCGGGCTAAATTAAGGTGAAACAACACCAAAAGATCAGTTAAAGATTTTATTCATGACAGAAGCAAACTGAACTGGGGAGGCCTGGTAGTAGCTGGCAGGGTTTCTCACAACAGGAATTGGCATAGGACTACTTCTGTAAACCATGTAACCATATACATCAATTCAGGGAATAAGGAGATCCCTCCCATTGAGTCAGGAGGTTCAGAGCAGACCCCCTTGGTTTCCAGACTCCTCCTCAGAGAAGGGTCTAGGGGCAGCTGGATCCACTCTTAGTCTCAGACTTGGTCAACGGTTTATATCTTGAAATGGATGAGGTGTAGGGATTGTGGAAAAGGAAAGAGAAAAGAAGAAAGAGAGAGAGAAAGGAAGAGAGAAAGATTTCACCAGTCCTAGGTCCAGCGTTGGTTCAGTCAGCCAAGGGGTCCAGTCCCGGTGGGCTTGCGCACCCCGGGGCTTCAGTTTGTGTCCTTTTACCAACCTTGCCCCTCCTTGGGGCGGGCACCCAAACTCCTCAGGTTAATGAGCAGTTTGTGAGCCTTTGGGCTTGGGGGTCATTTGTGAAGTAACTTCTCCTTCCCTGCAAATGTGGCCATTGTTTGATCTTTGTATCAGAACAGCTTATCAGAACAGGGAGCTGCACACCCTCCAGCACGGGATGTCTGAGCTGATGGGCTTTTCACCTTGGTTTCTTGCTGTGCAGGGTTTGTCTTTAAGCAGAACTTGCCCCACCACAATGTTTGAGACATTAACTCTTTCAGTCTCTCACAGGTTTGCAAATTCTTTGAGAAGGAAATACAAATTCCAGCTGCTCACAAAGCTACAAAGAAAGCCTGGTTAGTTACTGCACATGCAGGTGACCTTGGGGCATCTCAGTTGGATCCACAGGGGAACTCCATGAAGGAAAAGCGACTCCAAAATGCTGGCTTTGTTAAAGAATTTTCTATTCCATCTTTTGTAAAGATAGATTTGGGTCCAAAATGAGAATGTCTGTTCATATCTGCCATGCAAGTGACAAAACCTCATTAAATCTACAATAGTGTCCATGTAAATCCTGGAGACAAAAAATAAGTTCTAAGGCACAGCTGCCATACCAGCTTCAGAGCAGTTTTGTGCATTTAACTTCCTTCAGAATTATACAGTCTTGTATAAATTTTGTAGGCAATACAGAAAAGCACAAAACTTCCTATAAAAATTCTGAGAGAATTGCTTTGTGACACATGGACTATCCTTGCTACTTCACAGGGAAGGGCACCCAAAATGCACATCTTGAGCAAGTACAGGAGGTGCAATTCCACTAAGAGTGCAGTGGAAACACCTTCTAGCGCTGTATGAACAACCTTCACTCTCTTGCTACACCCACTGCTGCTCACTTTTTGATGTCAGAGCTCTGCAGCCTGAGAGATACAGGCAATGACTCAAACTTGCTTTACATGAAATGAGAAAATTCTTCTTGAAATCACAAACCACAAATCAGGAGCCATACACTTGTCTCCTCTCCTGCCTACACACAAACATGCACCCATACACATATCCACATTGTTTTATAAGAGAAGTAAATGATACAATTACTGCCTGCCTAACAAACACAATGCATGCAGAAATGTTTTCTATATTGCTTTACTTTCTAAGGTCTTTCACGGAATGATTGATCATTCATAAAAATAATGTATGGGCCCAGCATGGTTTCGTTGGATGGTATCAATGTCCAAAAGCCAAAATAAAGAAAGAAGACATGTTTGTTTGGATCTCTCTGATCCTGAGCTGGCCAGAGACTTGGCTCTGCTCAAACTACAATTGAAACTGTCCTTCCCGGATGCAGGGAAGAAATCCAGCATTTTTGTTCTTCCCTAGCTCCTTCCACTTAGACTTTCTGTATACAGAGGTCCCACATAAATCCCAAACCCTTAGTTTTGCCATTTATGGTTCCCTAGAGTCATATTACAATAGCTTTGATTAAAATACAAACCAAGTGAGTAATTGCAGGCTTTTTAATTTTACAGCGTCAGTTTGTCATTGTAATGGATATGTTGGAACACGAAAGTCTCTTAATGAATTAAAGGAAATGCATATTTAGAAGGACTTTAAACTTCCCATGACCAGCAACCTCATACACTCACACAAAAATAAGAGAGGGAGAACAACTTTTCTTGTCAGTGATACAAACCCCCAATAAAAATGATGAACTGTATGTCCTCCTGACTGCAGCTCTCAAAGTGGCTTCATTGAATATCATTAAGCAGAACTCTTGCATACTTATTTTGAACAGGCCCTTCCATCTATATGTATCTGTAATGCTGAAAAAAAGTTATTTTTACAGCAAGAGTTGAATGGAAAATAAAAAAGTATTCGCTCTGTTAATAATTTTTGTCCCTTCCAATCTGTAACATCTCATCTTAAAAGAAGCAATACATTTCAGGGATGTTTGTTTCCAGGAAGCAGGTGCTTGTTTTCCCTTCTGCATGTTGTTCATCATTCAGTGCATGTTTCACAAAAGACACAGTGAGAAGCATATTGTAGTGGAAATGCTGGAATACCATTTTTATTGTGAAAATCTAATTAGTAGATCTCATCACACTTGGACTACCCCTCTGACAAGCAGAGTAAACCCAAGTATCATTAAGGAAACTGATATATTTTTCCTGATGCACACTCCAAACAAGTAGGAAATCCATTTCGACAGCTGTGGTAATTAGCAAAATACAGGGCTGAATATGTTTTGTTATTTAAAGGACAACAGAGTAAAATAATCATTAGGGATTTGCACTCATATTACAAAAGTAGTATTGGCTGGTAGAGCACATTTCATAAAGGAGGGACTCACTCCCACTCCATCTCTGCTATCAGTCTTTTAAAGTAACAATAGGGAACAGCAGAACTACAATGTCACTGCTGCAGTCATGCCACAAAGTATTTATGCATCATTGTCAATACCGCTAGCTATTATTCTTCAAGTAACACATGCCAGATTAAACTTAACTGTAAAATAGAACACCACTTTTTCCTTCCAGTTTATGCATGAAAATTACATGCACATGTGTGCATACAGAGTGGTAAATGCAGAAATGAATGCAAATTTTATCGCTTTCAGGGAAGGCATTTCTGGGCATTGGAAAAGCAACAGACCTTAAAAATAAAATTTAAAAAAAAAAGAAGAAAAAAAAGAAGAAAAAAGACCAGAAACAAAATATCTTTTTCACTTATTCCAGAGCTACCAAGGCAGGAGTAGAGCTTTCTTCATGGTCCATTGCTGCACTCCCAGTGTCTCTTGGTGTATACACAAGACTCGTAAAGATTTCTGGGTTTGGTGGTCTCTGCTTTCCATGGCAAAGCAATTTCTCCAGCTGAAAAAAGCAGAAGATAGCACCACACTAAGCTGTTTAATGCAGCTGTAACTCTTGCCTAGACTTCCTTGGCAATTTGCCAAGTTGCAGTCAGAATGACTCAATTTTTTCCCTGATTTTAACTTAAATCCTCAGACGTGACAAGCACCTGCAATTTGTAATGATTAGAAAGTGGGAAGTACTCAGTAACTTTCCTATTCCAGCCCTGAGACCATAAACTTGCTCCACACTCTAAAGATTTTAATAGCTTTTCCTTAGCGTTTACGCAACGGCCTTTTAGGAAAGCATTTTCCATTTCTGAGAGATGCAGCTCTGGCTGGACCTAGGCAGAGTGGCAGAGCAGGGTGGCACTGGACTTGGAAATGGGAAATACACATTTATACACTGCATCTTCTTTCCATAGGGCTCCTCCCACACCAACTAAGTGTGCTCCAACATGACGTCATTCTGCTACTTTCTACCCACATCCCAAACCCTTCTTTTGGGACTTGCAGCTCTTTAATAGTGTCAACACTCCACTGTAGCCCTCAAGTTTTACTGAAATTGCTATTTACTCACATTGGTGACTACATTGAATAAGACTCCAATTCAGCAAACACTTGTGCACCCACTTGATTTGAAGTATGCACATGGTCCAATTGACTTCAGTGAAGTAAAGCATATGGATAAGTGCAGGGCAAGGACGAAGACTGAACGCAAAGCATGTTTACTGGATACTGCCATACAATCATATGTAGTATTGCTTTACTTATGGTGACTAAACTTAACTAGATTTTTGTCCACAGGAACGTCCACATCCACACCTCTTACACCAATTACTCTGAGCAAAACTATTCAATACAGTGTCTGTTAAAATGATCCCTTCACAACCATTAATTTTATAACTCTTGCAAAAATACTTCAGTCCCCTAATCTTATTTGGCAAGCAATTTCTAATACATAAAGGAAATAAATGTACTTTAACAAATTTACCTCCCTTCACTTGCATATTGTTTTCTGCTAAAAATCAGTCCTTTTCCCAAAAGCAGTATGTGTTTGATAAGCATAAATTGTCTCTGCTTCCATTTTTTAGCAGAAGGATGTAAGTTAAGAAATAAAAATGCAAGCAATTGTTCCTCCTGCTTGCTATTCATTCCTCAAATACTGAAAGTCTCTTTATGAATAACATGAATTGATGTTCTTGTCAGTAGCAACAATATTTACAGAATGTATGTTACATTAAAGAGGAAATTGAAAGTAAAGATGCAATTCCACTAAGAAAGACATTGAAACATGCAGACTATCTCACCCTTGCAAAGTCTGCTCACCTTTTGTCAAGATGTTTTGCTTAGTATTCATAAACCTTTTGTATTTGATGTTGACTATTTAAATCAGTTATTATCTGTCAAAGTGGGTCTCTGCAAACATTTGTGATACCACAAAGAAATAAACAGCAAGTTACTATAAAGCATAACAAAACCCTGGCATTTTTCATAAGCTATAGAAAGTTTCCACCATTCAGCTAAGGATGTTCCTTGTGGGAAACACAGAGGAAATGTTCTGAAAGCGAAATACAGAACTAAAACAGCTAGTCTGATTCACTAAAGTCTTTCAGTGTACCTAAGGAACTACTATAGGCTCCATTAGCATAGCAGCTTAGTGCCAAATGCTATAATTAAAATTGACATAGAGCTGATCATAGTGCAGACTACAAAGGTCCCATCAATATCAGTGAGCTCAAGAGGGAACCTCATCTGAATAAATGTATCTCCACAATTTTCAAGCTGGTGGAACTACGGTGCTTAATTCCTTCTCAATATTCTCTTTTAAAAAAAAAAAAAGTAGTTAATTTTCCTTAAAATAATTCCTGAACTCCTGAAAGGAGAAGAACAGTGCATGCAGCACATAGTTCTTCGGGTGAATAGAAAATGATCACATTTTATTATTTACTTGGAGATCAATAAATATACTTCTAGCCCAAGTGTTTTATGGCCCACAGCCATTGAAAGTACAACCAAAACTCAAACTCATAAAATCCAAATTACATTTCCTTTTCTCCATACACAGAAGCACGATGCACCAAAACATACCACAAAAAAACCCCAGTGAGAATCTACCTTTCTTTACATTATCCAAAACATCTTTTTCAGATGCTCTTTGACCACGGGAACAGGGGAGAGAATTCCAGAGCCAGACATCTGAGAGCAGTGTGTTTTGTCAACAGTGCCCTCTCCTCTCTCAAACAGAAATCAAGCCCCTTCCCAAAGGAAGGAGGGAATCTGTTCAGGAGATTGCTGAGGAGCCTTGCACAGAGTCACCATAGAGAAAAAGAAGTGTAAAATAGGCCCTTTTAAACAAATATTTTGAAATTATGGGCTTGCTGACACAGACCACTTAACAGAATTTACATAGTACATGTTAACAAAATACACCTCTGGGTAACCAACTCCCTCCACCCCAAAATACCTAAGCCAAGTAATAGAGTGTAGTGAGTAAAAGAAGTTAATTAGGAAACCAAACCAAAACAAAAATCCTCCAAACCAAAAAACCACCACAACAACAAAAAAACCCAACCTAAAGAAAAGAACAAAACAGGACACCTGGAGAAAGAGGAAAGGTGTAGTTATTATTTTACCACACTGTATTTAATCTAAAAAAAGCTATTTCAAAAGACTGCTGCAAATTTAAAAAAAAAATAAAAATCCTAATGATGCTGAATATATGCAGTAGGGGCCATGCATGAATGGAAAGATGATGCCTTTAACAGGTTTTTCTGTTATGGTTACATTCAAAGCAGACAATTATGCAAATAAAAAGAAGGAAAACTCTGTAGAGTAAAATACTTCTCTCTCACAGGAATGAAAATGAAAACAGTATTAATAATATGGCTCTGGAGAATTTGGTATTAAGCACTACTAGTGACGAAAGATAAAAAACAGTAATTCAAATGCATTTCAACTGTCAATACATCCATTAATATTCTTTTCTCTCAAATTTTACATTTCTCATTTCTTTCCTCAATGAAATAGGAAAATGGCTTATGAGGGGGGATGGAAGGCAAAGAAAGCAAATCAAATGGAATTGCAACAGGTAGGTAAAAAGCAAGCCATGCTTCAAGCCAAGACAGCTTCTTGAATGGATTTATATTACTGTATAACTGAAGTACTGTGCCATGATTTTGGATAGATTTGCTGAGGAGTATATTCCCAAAGCCAAATTGAAAACGCACAGTTACCCAGAAAATGTCATAAGAAATTGTCCTAATTTGTCCATAATAATGAAGCTGTCACACTACAAATGCAAAAATTTATATTTTTCAGTGAAAACACACTTTTTTTCTTTCTTTTTTTTTTTTAAAGTATGTCTCAACAATTCATGCTTTTCAGTAGACAATTTCCAAAACTGGCATCGGCAGGCTCATACATCTCATGGCAATACTTGGTAAACTGGACTGATTCCTAAGACACTCTCCCTTTTGGTTGAGAAAAAGAACATAATTTTCTTCTAACTGGACAGTGAAACAATGCACAAGTCAAATGGCAGACAGTGCAAGAAATGAGAGCAACAGCAGAAAAATCATGCTATTTTTTTATACTACATCTGAAATGGAGAGTCAAACTGCCCTTAACTAGAGGAATAATTAAAATATCATCTAGAGGTGAAGGTTCAAACCCCCTTTTGTATGAAATGGTTGATAAATATGCTCCAGTAAAAATGCTGTTCTGTTCCTACCAGCACTTCTGACAATGCTGTTATGGAATTTTACCTTTCTCCTCTTCAGTTTCTCAAGCAAGGTGTCCTGTCTCAAAATCAAGACAGGTATCTATACATATTCTCTCTCACCATCAGCCCTGCCGATACACATAGACATGTGCATCAGTAGCATTCATTCTGCACACCCTTGTTCACATCTCATCTTCAAATCGTGCTCTCATTACTCCTCCGATATCTCATCCCATTCACTGTATCCATAAAGATACATGTGACTGAACCTATTTCCTTCATACACTGCTCTTCCAAGTTACACTGTAAACTGGCAGTTTATTCATGTAGCCAACTCCCTTTCATATGCTGCTCGCTGGCCCTTATATTTCAATATACTGCTTATCCAACAGAAATGGTACAATGGCCTTTCTCGAAACTTACCTGAAATCCCCAATGATCGGAAATCTGTACAGTGACATGTATTTGCAAAAGAGGTTTTCCAGGACTTTTCGTACAGCCCATGTAAAAATTGGACATTGTCCAAGAACAGTTTTTGCAACACAGAACACAACCACTAATTTAGGAATGTGTTTCTGTTTTATCAAACCCAGTATCTGCTTTATAAAAATATGATTCCCTTCCTACCAAGCTGCTGACCGATATATTCTGTTTCTTTTCACTGAAACTTAGTATCATGCTGTGTATTCATGTTGAGATGAAAATTGGAAAACAGGTATACAGGTTTATTCTGTCATCTTGACAATCTGTTCTTTCCCTGTGATATTTTAATCCACTTTCCATACTTTCAACAATAACAACTTCTGACAAATTTTTCTTCACCCATGAAGATAACATCCTCATAAATGACCTTACACTTACACTATGTCTGAGGCTTGGAACATGAATTTATTTCCTTTTATCGCTCTGTACTAAAAAGGAAGAAAATGAACCATTATTAAATGGGGCTTTCCTCCTGTCCTTTTTAAGTCTCCTTAGGAATAACAGTTTCTTTTGCTTTTATCTTTTCATTCTGAACTACAGGTACAGTCCTATTATATCACTTGCTGATGCCTTTAAGCATAATAATTCAGCTCAAATGCATTCCTTAAATCAATGAAAACGAATTAAATTAGTACCTGCAGGCAGAATAAATTAAATAAAATGTATAATAATACAATTCTTACACATTCTTCTCTGTGCAAAAACATTAATATTCTGTGCCTGATTTTCAAATAAACAATTTTATCCCATTAAAATGAAATATCCATATTTTCATTTTTTTTCTTATTAAAATTTAAGATTTTTTTAGAATGACA